ATCCAACGCCAAAAGCGAAGCCACCCCCTCTCCCTGCCTCGGGCCGCCTACCAACGAATCTGCCGCCCAGCCCGCCGCCGCCGTCAATGGTACCTCGAATATGCTCGACTTACCACTTCAATCTTTCTGAAGAGGCTCACGAGCTCAAAGAGGAAGGGAACCGCCATTTCCAGTCGATAGGATTACTACCGCCGCTCTCACAGAGCTGCGAAGCGCGGCGCGTCCGCCTACCTTCTCTCTCCGGCCCTACCGCCGATCGGGCCGGGCTCGCAGCAGCAATCGGGCGGGCTTGCGCGTCATGCAGATTCCGGCCCAATTGATTGACCAGGCCGTGGCCGCCGAGTGGCTCCGCTTGCTCTTCAGGCCGGCAAGCCCAATTTCGCCCTCGAGCCCTTTTACGTTGCGAGCTCGGGCCCTGGATGCGCTTCGACGTCGGATCTCCGCTTAATGACGTCGAAAACGCTCCCTGCTTCGCAGTGGACGCACACACTAATCGAGATGCCCTAGAGCTATGCCAAGAAAATTAGAGATTCAGTTGGCGCCTACTCAACAGAACAAGGCGGCGCAGCCGCCGGCCGGAGAATTTGGCCGAGGCAGGCCGCCAGCCCGTCGCCAGGCAGCGCTTGGAGCTTCCGCCTGTCCGTAGGGGGCCGCCGATTGCAGGGGATTGGGGGGCCGTCCTGCGCCAGCCGGCAGTTCCAAAGAAGCGCCCTTCGCCTCAGCCGCAGCAGAAGGCGAATAGGCCGCCAGCTGCAGCCGAGAGTTGCCGGGGAGAGGTAACCTATATGGGTTGCCGGAGGTCCGTTCTGAAGCCTGCAAAGGTGGCGCAAGACCAGCGAGCATGTGCAGGTGGAGCAGGCCGCGGCCGGTTGTGGTTAGCGCAAATGGCGGCCGTTGAAATTGGTGTATGATCATGATATTAGGCTTGCGCAGATGCCGGTGAATTGTGGCTTTAGGGTTTTGAGGGAGATTGTTACGAAGAGGTTTCCTTCTTCGAAGGCTGTTTTGGTTAAGTACAGGGATGAGGATGGGGATCTTGTTACTGTTACGAATACTGCTGAGCTTAGGCTTGCAGAGCTGAATGTTGATAAGGAGAAGAAGGAAGGAGATGATTCTAGTAGAAGTGAGAAGCTTGCTGTATTGAGATTGCATATCGTGGAGGTGAGCCCTGAGCAAGAACCAGAAATGCCCGAAGAAGAGGAAGTAGAGGAGAAGACGTCTGCAGAAGACGAGGGTCTGGTTAAAGGCGATGAGAGCTTGTCTCATTCGTCTATTGGGGATGATGCAACATCACAACAGGAAGAGGGGCCATCCAAAGAAAAGGATGAGAAGAAGGGGTGTGATCATGCCGAATGCAAGGAAGTCGAGATTGATGACTGGCTCTATGATTTTGCCCAGTTGTTCAGGCAGCAAGTCGGAATTGACCCAGATGCTCATTTGGACCTTCATGAGCTTGGCATGGAGTTATGCTCTGAGGCACTTGAGGAGTCAGTGACCAGTGAAGAAGCTCAGAGTCTGTTCGAAATGGCCGCTGCTAAGTTTCAAGAGGTGGCGGCATTGGCTTTCTTCAATTGGGGTAATGTGCACATGTGCGCAGCGAGGAAGAAGATACCTTTGGATGAATCATCGTCTAAGGAAACCATGGCAGCTCAGCTACGTGTTGCATATGATTGGGTTAGAGAGCGGTATGCTCTTGCTGGAGATAAGTATGCGGAGGCACTCAAGATCAAGCCCGATTTCTATGAAGGGTTGCTAGCACTAGGGCAGCAGCATTTTGAGACCGCGAAGCTTCATTGGTCCTTTGCGCTGGCTAGCAAGATCGACTTGAAATCATGGGATTACTCAGAGACGATTAGGCTCTTTGATAGTGCGGAGGAGAAGATGAAATCTGCTACTGATATGTGGGAGAAGGTAGAAGAGCAGAGAATAATTGAGCTGAAGGATCCCGACTTGAGCAAAAAGGAGGAGCTTTTGAGGAAGAGGAAGAAACAAGGAGTGGGCGCTGATGGTCATGGAGAGTTATCAGCAGAGGAGGCGGCGGAGCAGGCTAATGTAATGAGATCTCAGATACATTTGTTCTGGGGTAACATGCATTTTGAGCGGTCACAAGTCGAGTTTAAGCTTGGTTTTGGTGATTGGAAGAAGCACCTTGACGCAGCCGTTGAGCGGTTTAAGCTAGCCGGAGCTCCAGAAGCCGACATTTCAACAGTGCTGAAGAATCATGCGTCAAATGAAGGTGGAACTAGTATGGAATGTGATGAAAAAAAGGTCACGGGTCTTAGCAACGGCACCTCTGAACCAAACGCCAAGGGCGAAGACGAGCACGCGTCAGAGAAATAATCTTTGATGACACTCCACAATCAAGGAACGAAGCAACGTGGAGTAGATGATTCATGGTGGTGGAAAGTCACGGCCTTTTTGGCAATCTCCGCCGTAAGCACCCAGGGCTTACTTTTGTATCATTGATCGTGCTGCAAGTATGTTCTTCTTTGCTGCAAACTAAGTCAACATTGTAATGGCTCAGGTGTGTAACTCTTTTGAAAAATTTACATTCACCTTTCTTGAGCAAGCTTCCAAGGAAAAATAATGTTTGGATTTTGTCGTCTGATATATTTGTTGGCATCAGTATATCATACCGAATCTGCCCTCTTTTCTTAGTGGATAGGAGATAGATTTAGTACTTTAGCATTGAGAAACTGATGTGATGATCGTAGGCGTACTTATACTTGGGCTGAGTGTAATTGCTTTGATAAAGTTAGATTTTTTTTTATCATCTTCCTTGTTGTGTGCATGGTCGACCTTTTGACTTGAGAATGTTCGTTCCTTCTGTCTCGGCAACAGATTGTACTTTCTTTCGTGTCGCGGTGAATGTTCTACACCCTCTGTCATGTCCATAGGAGTGAAAATTGAGTCCTGAAAGTACCAAAATACGATAATTTTGATTTTATCATGCTAGTTCACCTTGGTTTATTGCAGGACTAAGATAAATTGATCTTTTGTTCTGGAAACATGGCTTGCTCTTTAGCATGAGCTTGCGAGTAAAAATCACGGGCTACTACCCTTCTGTTCATATGCATAATCAGGCGCGGTGCTCATGCGAACATGCTATTACTTCAAGGCCTTGTATTTGTGTGGGGCTAGGATCCCCAGTATTATGACTCGGAAGTCCTGAACTTGTTCCATTGGTCGAAGAAGACAGTGATCGGGTTCTTGATGTGCATGCACCCTTGCTATGTTGATATTGAGTTTTTAAAATCGCCACTCTGCAGGATATGTTATTGGATTGTTAATCCTTTCGTATGTATCGCGGATCAAACTTCTCATTTCGCTTTGCTCTGCCAACCGTTACGGTAGTGAAAGAAGAAAGGGAGAAAGAGAGAGAAAACTGAAAAAACAGGACGAGGATACATAAAGTTCTTGTGCACATTTGAACTTGGAGTTGGTAATACGTAAAAAGCCTATACAGATCGTTTTTCCATTTGTGCTACGGAAATGATCTTGCGCCCGTTTCATGGCGATTTTTAGGCTTCAAGAATGCTAGAGGAGGAACCTCAGGGGGTATAAGCCTGCACCAGGAGGCCCATATCTTTTGCTTATGTACACAGTAGCTCTCTATTGAGGTATGTATAGTTCCATCTGAGCATGTTCTGGCTAATGTTACCGGAAAATATTGTTATCAATGTTATTTTTCAATTAGCCTTATTTTTCCCTTTTACACAAAGACGCTGAATATGCATGTTATCGTCTCTCAACAGGTAATTTCTCGCTTGCTTGTGTTGGCTTTGTGCATGGTGTTGTTGAGGAGAATCAAGTAGGAGAAGTGACTGTAGACGTTTGTTTTGGAGTTTCCACCAGGTAACTCCTTGGTCCTAAGTTTGAAAATGCCACCCCCCCTAAGTTTTGGGTTCTCAGAATGGCCCTTGCACTTTGTAACGTTTTTAGAAAGAAGAAATTTTCAAAACAGCCCCAAAAAGATTTTTATTTTTCAAAATCGACCCATTTTTTTATTTTTCAAAATCGATCCACTTTTTGCCACGTGGGCTTAATGAAGTTCCTAAATAGTTGGGGTTGTCAACCCCGACTGTTTAGGACATGAAAATTTTGGGTTTAATGGTTCTAATTAGGGTTTAACACCCTCCTAAACAGTCGGGGTTGTCAACCCCGACTGTTTAGGAACTTCATTAAGCCCACGTGGTAAAAAGTGGGTCGATTTTGATAAATAAAAAAAAGTAGGTCGATTTTGAAAAATAAAAATCTTTTTAGGGCTGTTTTGAAAATTTGTTCTTTTAGAAAACGTCCCTAACAACGTTAATTCAAAGGGTTTTGTAAAAAAGGTTAAAAGGGTGTTTTGTGACATTTTGAAAGTTAAGTGGTGTCAGCACCACCCACACTTGAGGGGGGCAACAATCGATCTTTTCGGGTTTTTACTAATAAGCTTTTTAGGTTTCTCTGCCCTTTCCATTTTATATTAAAATTGTTGCTTAACATTAGAAAATGTGAAGCTGCTGATGCATCTCTCTGAGTTTTCTAAGACGTGAATGATGCATAGGACATGGTTGCCTGACGTTATAAACTTGACCTTATTTAAGTACGTTATAAACTTGACCTTATTTAAAGTCTTCGAAAATTTTTGTTATGCAGACGAGGATTAAGTGAAGAAGGTATTGTGTTGCATGTGCTTCTTCCTGTCATTAGCAATGTGAAGCTTTTTTTGTCTTCAGTTGCGAAAAAGTCAAAGTGTCTTGTATATATATATATATCATATTTCATATTTTCATTCTCCCTTTAAAAGAGGGAGTATGAGAAAAACTTTTCCTACCTAAAATGCCCTTCATCTATCATAAATTTAACAGAATTATCCTTTTTTTTACGTTACTCCAAAATCAGAAATCAAAAGCCCTAAACAATCTGTTACCATATCTATTGCCTCTGTTCATTCATCTTCTTCAAAAATATTCAACAATAGATCGAATCGAATCATAATCGAAGAAGATGAGCACGGTGGACAGGATGCTAATAAGGGTATTCGAAGCTTTGACCCTGAGAACAAGAACGTCATCACCTTCTACCGCCCCTAACCCTAATCGTCGGCCCTAATAGCACTGGCAAAACCGTAATTTTATCTCTCCCTCTCACTTCACTCACACTTTCCTACTATTCTCGAAACCCTAACAGTACCAATTTCATTGTTGTTGTTTCAGACCATCATTGAATGCTTGAAGCAGACCTGCACCGACGAGCTCCCCCCCAACTCTCGCTCCGACCACTCCTTCATCAACGACCCCAAGGTATCTCAATTTCTCACCTTTTAGGTTTTTATAGCAACAATTTCAATTAACAAGAAGAGAATGGTGATGGGTCTTGTTGAATTCATTTGTTAAGGTCGCCGGCGAGACTGAAACCAAAGGGCAGATTAAGCTCCGGTTCAAGACTGCCGCGGGTAAAGATGTTGTATGCATTCGATTCTTCCAGCTCACGCAGAAGGCGTCGAAGATGGAGTTCAAAGCCCTCGAGAGTGTTCTCTAGACAATCAACCCTCATACTGGAGAGGTGACACTAACACGTACGTATACTTATCAACCCATCTGTGAAAATTGTTGTTTTTGTGCCGCATTATGTGATGGTAAAATGTCTGCAGAAGGTTTGCCTTAGCTATAGGTGTGAGGATATGGACAGGGAGATCCCCCAAGTGATAGGGGTATCTAAGGCTATATTGTAGAACGTTATCTTCGTGCACCAGGACGAATCGAATTGGCCTGTGCAGGATCCTTCCGCGTTCAAAAATAAGTTTGATGATATCTTTTCTGTTACTCGGTACCTTTGAATGCTTTATTGTTTGTCTATGTTATTTTTATTTGAATAGATTGTAGATGTAAGGGTTTGATCCTATGTTTGTTCATGGATGCTGGTTTCCTATGTTTATGCTATTTCATTGAGTCAATATGTTTGAATGTAGAAAAAAAGGTGGAAATCTGATAGTGAATATGATAACCACATTGTAGAGACACATTTTTAGGTTACTGTAAATTTGTGCTTGAACTTAATTAACAGTCACTGTCACATTCATTTTAAAATTAAGATTTCAAATATAACTACAGATTTTAAACTGTAGTTTTTTACATTTGATATGACAAATGTTAAAGTAGCCAAACATGGAGGTTCTTGGATAGAAATGAAGTCAGATCCTGAGATGGTTATAAGAATAATAATACTAAGGAGGGCTTAGTGCAATTCAACTCTTAGTCTTCTTTGAATCTGCTGGTTAATGGTGTATTAATAATGTGGTCTATATCACATCCATAAAATAAAATTATAAAATAAAATTTTTGTTTGAGGAATCAAATGGTACATTTTCATCATATAAGATTAAATAAACTTGAGTTTCTGATCTTTATTACATTAAGAATGTATGCTAAGCTTTTGTTTCACACGTCCATCTCTCAATACATCGGTAATCCAGTGTTGAATTTAAGGAAGCATAAAGACATAAAGTAATGCCTTTGATATCCTTCACAATTATTATTTGGGAAATTAGTCCTGTTTATTTATGTTTTGACTTAGATGTATTTCTACAAGTTCATATTGACTTGTATAATTTTATGAGTCTTTTAGCGATTCTGTTCAATGTTGAATTTTCTTCTTTGCTCTCGATTTTCTGATATATTTTTTATAAAAGAAATTCCATGCATTTGAATTTCAAGCCGGCTATTTTGTTATTGTGTTCATGAATATTGATCTCATACAATATGATCCAACTTTATCTTTGTGTGTTTTATGGTTATAATAAAGCTCCAGAGGTTATAAAAAAACTTCACAAGGATCAGGCACACGAGTTAAAGACTTACAAGTTGAAATTAGAGAATCTTCAACTCTGAACGATGCAGCTCATAAGGTTGTATTCCTTTCTAACATGTTATTTCTTTTATATCTTTTAATTCTCTCATATCTATGACCTTAGTTTTCTTGTTCTATGTTCATTTATTATTTCAATTTATGCTAAAATAGAACTAAATTTGTTTATCCAGCTCCGGAATAGTATATCCCAGGAGCAGGAGAAAATTGAATCCCTAAAAGCACAGATTAAGGAACTGGAGAGGAACATTCAAGGTGTAGAAAACAAAATCTTGCATACAGAAACTACTTTGAATGAATTGCATAAACTCCGAAACTAGATTTCAACGAGTACTACTGCAAGGAGCACTTTATTTAAGCTGCAACAGACACAGTATGCTGCCCTTGCTGAGGAAAATGAAGGTTGGCTAAGAAACCTGACCTTTACATATTGAACATATATATACATGTGATTGTTGTACAAACATGCGGAAGTGATCGGGAGATGAAACTCCTCTGCGACTTTTCCATGGATTCTATAGTTTTTCGGATATGGAGGCTTGCTATCTTTGATAAATTTTGGTCTGCAAAGATTGTAAATATTCAGTTGATATGATTTTTTTTTATCCAGCTTATTTTTCTTTTTAATTATTTTTTGGTTATTTTTCTTGAAAGCGAGAAGAATTAGAAGATATCCATGAGAAGAATTAGAAGAAATCCATGGGAAAGAGACGGTCATTTGAGGTTGTTATTATCTCTGGTATTTATCTCAGCTTTTATTTATCTTCATCTTTTCCTTTTCCTTATTTTTTTCTGATTTTATTCTTTTTTTTTAAGAGAGGAGAATTTATTTACGGAGATTCATGCGTAAGAGATAGTACAACTAATCTTTCATATATTTATCTTCTTACATTTATGGAAATTATTCTAACTGATTCCCTATTATCTAACTTATCTTTTTTTATTGAAGTTTTTAAACAGAGATCTATTGGCAGTAGATGCTTCAGTTGATTGAAGCTTAGCACCTCAGGTATTTATTTTCTCAAATCTTTGAATAATTATTAATTTTTAGGCAAACTCTATTCATTTTTTGAAAAAGTTTAATCCTATCTTTATTTTTTTGGGTTCAGAAGAGATGAGAATGTACAAAAAGCTCAGAACATAAGGTAACTATCTTCTTAAATGTATGGTAGTTTATAAATTTTCAGTCAAAATGTTTCCTTTTTAACAAAAAGTTTCATTCTTTTGTTGTTTTCCCCTAAATTTTCAGTCAAAATGATTCTTTTTAACAAAGTTTCATCCTTTTTTTTGCTTTTCTCCTAAATTTTAAGTCAAAAATTTTCCTTTTTAACAAATTTTCATTTCTATCTTTTTGGTCCTAAAGACATAATTAACAAAGATCAGTGGTCAAGAGAGGGTACACAAATCAAAGCTTGTGCTAGCAGGCATTTATCTTCTTAAATCTTTAAAATTTATAAATTTTCAGTCAACGAGATGATACAGTTTTCTATCTTCAGTTTCAGTTTGGAGGTGATGAGAATTAACCAGTTTGGAGGTGATGAGAATTACCAGAGATAAGGTTTTGAATGGATGAGAATTAATAGAGAGGATATCGTTAATTTAAGCTCACGATTAACGCCAATGGATAATTGAGGGTTATTTTTTTTGGTTTTGTTGATAAATAGAAGAATTAATAGAGAACAACAATGGATAATTGAGGGTTGCTTCTCCTTTTTCACTTTTTGTAAATCAAGTCTACCAAAGTTTCCCATCTATATGAGTTTGGACTTTGGAAATCATATGGTCTTGAAACCCAGTCTTTTGAATCTGTTGTATGACTTGTGCCGATAGGAATTTTATCTTTAAACCTGAAAAGCTTCCAATAAACTACCAAGGTTTCATTAATTATATAAAATTAAGAAATGCTCTTATTCATGTCGAGTTCACAGGTCTTTTATGAGCAATATGCACGTGCAATTCTATGCTACTGAAGCTTATGAGTGCAAAGAAAACAATAGAGATTGCAAAGAAAACAATAGAGATTGGGGTGTTCTCTGGGTATTCCCTCCTCACTACTGCTTTGGCTTTGCCTGAGGATGGAAAGGTGCAAAGTTTTCTTGTTTTTACCTTTTTCTATTTTATCTTTTTAAGAAGAAAATTAGATGGTTAAACTTGGAGATTGTAGCCACTTATACCCCTAAGCAAATTTATTAATATAAGCAATGTTATTTTGCCTTCAGATATCACGTGAGAATCACGTGAAAAGAAATTATTCTTTGTTCTGTGAAATATCTAACTTTCCCTAAATTGAGGATAAAATTTAGTTGTTGTTACATGATTCTTACATTATATCTCAATTGAATGGAAAAATAACATCATATGTGAAGTGGCTACATCTCATTTAATAGTTTGCAGTTAACCCGAAAGTAATTAGATTTCATGTAATTTTATAGGGAGAAATATTTTGTGCTTTTGTTACTTTGTTTAATATACATTTAACAATTTTTTGTAGATAACGGCTATTGATGCTGATAGAAAAGCCTACGAGATAGGATTACCATTTATTCAAAAAGCAGGGGTGGAATATAAGACTAAATATATTGAATCAGAAGCTCATCATGTTCTTGATAAAATGCTTCACGAGGTAATTTAGCGCATAATGTCTCTAAATTTCTATATTTTAAATTATTTAATCATTAAATTAATAGGTTCTTAATTTTGCATACAGTTTCCATTCACCTGCTAATGTCACCCATCAAGTTTCATTCACTAAAAAGACAGATATTCGTTAAATTTAAACCATGTGTTTAAATTATACTGATAAATATGTACACATTAGTGTAACATTGCTTTTACAGTAGCATATGATTTTCATAGCATTTGTACCTCTTCACACATGATGAAAATTGAAGAGACTGAAAATACTTTGCCTTATTAGGGAGAAACTGTAAGCAGCCTCTGGTGAGTAGATTTTGAAAATAAATTGTACCAGCATGTGCAAATAGCATATTACTCTGCTATAACCTGATACTTGGAGACTGACTCCAATAAACTAGATACTGTATGAGGGTGATGATATAGAACACAATATCAAAGATGAACTTCCATATTCTTTAAACCATTGTATTAAACTTGGTAACAAAGCAAGCTTTTAAGCAGTTGTTTCATTGCTCTTAAGGATAAGTAGAAATTACTTACTGCTGTCAGTTTTAACTTACTAAACTTTTTATACCCACTAAGAACAAGTTCCAGGACATTGATTTGGCGCTTTCTTATATGCACCCCTTCCTAGACATTGATTAAGCTTGAATTGATTATTCTAACATAAAAATGATACAATTAAGAGAACACTTGTGGCTTATGATCTTATCTGATTCTCTTCAGCATTCATGAGAGTAAATAATGATAAAGTCCACGGGGATGAAGCAAGCCTATTATGTCTGAGGAGGAAGTTTGAGTAAACTGAGTTCTCTCTATTTTCCAACTTCTATCAACTTTTTTTTTTGTTCGTGTCTGTTTATGCAGGTTTGGCCTTTTGCAAAATAATAAGGCATGAAGTGTGTTTAGGAGTGAATTATGACTTGTGTACAAGATAATACGAGTGCATTTGGGAATTGGGCTAGATGAGAATGTAGACAATATCATCATTGTGGAGATTGGAGAGGCTTTAGTAAAAAAGGAATAAGGCATCAATTTTTTGGGGTTCTTTTCCTTTATTCATGTCTCTCTTTTTGAATCCATATCCAAAGAAAGATGACTAAAAGGCTTGAGATTAACTAAGTTACTCAAATATAGATAAGAGTATAGGGGAGCGATAAATTTATAAAAGGTAGGGTACTGCGACTGATATTAGTATTGTTTTTCCATTCACATGTCATGAGAATAAAATTCTTATAACATTTGTATGCTTACCATTGTATTATAAAATTCTTATAACATTCTTATATCATTATGGGATTGTTAAATTTTCATGGGTAAATATATGTACTCATACATTAGGTAGTGCGAAGACTTAGCAAGGCTCTAACATCATAAGCTTGGGTTTACATCAACATCATCAAACATTACTTTTTATGGATTTTTTATGAGATTGTCAAATTTTCATGGGTGAATATATGTACTCATACATTAGGTAGTGCGAAGACTTAGCAAAGCTCTAACGTCATAAGCTTCGATTTACATCCACATCATCAAACATTATTTTTATGAGATTGTCAAATTTTCATGGGTGAATATATGTACTCATACATTAGGTAGTGCGTAGACTTATCTAGGCTTTAACATCATAATCTTGGATTTACATCAACATCATCAAATACTTTTAAGTATATTCTTGTAATAGTCTTTGATTGATCAATCACCTTGTAGATACAACCACTGTACTAGCGTCTAACTAATCCCTAAATATAATTTTATTGTTGAAATGTTGTGAATTTTTAGCTTTTGTTCATATGTTGCCTATATTGTTTGCTACAATAAATTTATACTAAATCTTTCACTAAATAAAATTATACTTTAAATAAATATTAAAAATTGTACCACGTGCATTGCACGTGCAATCCAACTAGTCTATTTAAAAGTACGAGTTTAAGAAAAACTTTCCATAATCATAATATCTTTTATCATTTTAAATATTTTATTTAAATCTTAATTTATCCTAATCCTAATTATATCCTATACTACTACGTGAATTGCTTATAGCTCAACAAATTTTAAAAAAAATAAGACTAATAAAATACAAGAAACTACTCCACAATATTAGTTTGTTAAGGAAAAGAAATCGTATGTAGCTAATATACTATGATACATGAAGTAGAATAAAAAAACCCTAAAAGTTTCAAAAATTGCACAGAGTATTCTCAAAAGTCAAAAGTTTAATTTTACACAAGACGCTTTACTTTTCGCAACTTAAGATAAGAAACATGAAATCTGAAAATTAACAGTAACCTGTTTAAATTTACATGAAATCTGAAAATTAACAGTAACCCGTTTAAATTTAAACAAGACACTTTGACTTTTCGCAACTTAAGATAAGAAACATGAAATCTAGAAATTAATAGTAACTTATAAGAATTTAAGATTTACAATTGACACCCTTAATGTTTTAAAAATTATAAAAACACCTTAAAAGTTTAAATTATAAAAAAACCCTAAAAATTTAAACCTTGAGAACAACATATATGAATTCAAAGGATTACCATTAAGTACATGAAAATTTAATTTTGTAAGAAATAATCTCAGTTATAAATATTGTTATAAAAAAACCCCATCAAAAGTTAAAGATTACAAAGAACCATGAAATTCCAGATTATAATTAGTACACACAAAATCTAGAAATTATTAGTAGATCGCTGAAATTTTGAAATCTATAAAAGGAACCCTAAGTTTCAATAATTACAAAAAAATATATTAAAATTTTAAGGTTGTAAGAAATATCCTGACATTTAAAAACTTACCACACCAACACATGAAATATGAAAATTACAAGCACATAACTTAAAATTTTAAATTTAACAACAAACCCCTAAAGTTTCAAATTTGTGAAACACACCTTCAAAAGTTTAAAATCACAAAAAAAACAGCTGGAATTTTAAAACTTGTCCAAGAAAAGAGTACTTGCTTGATATTCTTTCATTAAGATATGTAAATTAATTTTTAATTTTTAATTTAAGGTTTACTATCACTTTTTATCATTTAAAACTAAAAGTAGTCTAAGTTGATGCTGGTTAAAAAAATAGCAATAACAATAGATTAAAAACATCCAGTTAAGGCATAATAATCTAAAAAATATATTGATTAAAAACTAAGGTCACTTTATAAATTAAGTAATTGTATATAATTTTACTACTAAGTTGTAGCAGCAAAAATACATAAGTAACATTAATTGATAGAAGGTTAAATCAAATCAAACTGATAAAAGACTATCATATAATAGCTTAACATTAATTGATTATATTTTACAAATATTAATATTTGATGTTAATAATATTTACAGGCGAAAAAATAAAGAGTTATGTATGGAGAAACTATTTGAAAGTATAGAGATATTATTCAAAAGAATCAACAGTATAGACTGGTACGATTCAATTCAACGTTTTCATTTCAAATGGAGAAGTGAAGGAAATAAACCCAAAATTTAGAAACACTCATGAATCATTTGAATCGACACTGATAAAATACATATCTATCTAAGAAACACTGACTAAGTTCCCCTTGAAGAACATGTTGAACAAATTTGTCTCAATCAAAAAAGTATTCTCCATAAAAGATATAAGAAAAATTAGAAAGTATTTATAAGTTTTTGTACATTATTCTTTAAATACTAAAGGAATTATAAACTTATTATAAAGTTATATGTAAATAATCTTGCAATAGAAACTAACATGAAACCATTGATCAAATATATTCGACTTACAAGATATAACAATCCACATAAGAAGAGGAAAATCACTATAATGGACAAGAGGTATACATGTGATACATTATTTATAATAACGTAAGCAAAATAAATAAATAAATAAATAAATTTGACTTTTGAACATAAAATATTTCATTATAAAGATTCTTATTAAAGGCCTCAAAAAATTTACTTTATACCTGTCTCAAATTTGTAGGGGAGGTATACATGTGATACATTATATGATAAGTAAACTAAGCAAACATCCATATAACGTAATAAATGAAAAAACATTACATTTTAAAGATAATATGCATGGCTCCTTCAAACATGCTGTTAAGTCAAAATCATGTCCATCAAGGCTCTTTATGAATACAATAGAAGTTTAAATTATGGATATATGCAACCATCACTGTGGACGCGTGAAACGATAGCACGTGGGGGCCAAAATCAATTCCGCGTGAAACGATAACACGTAGGGGCCAAAATCAATTCCGCATGAAACGATTGCACGCTTTCTTTCCGCGTACGAAGGTGAGAAGTGTCTCGTGATTGACGCGGGGGCCAGCCTGGATTCTCTGCTATAAATAGCAGTCTTTGGGGCTTCGTGCATGAGAGCGAAGGCAGAGGGGAGAGAGAAAACTCTTTTTGGCGGCTAGGTGAAAAGGCAGCGCAAGTTTTTTGAGAAGAAAAATATCAGAAGCTTTGTTTTGCGGCTGCAGTTGATGAGATTTTGTGTATTTTCTTTTAGGGTTTTGTGCATCCCCTTTTTAGAGAGATATTTGTGTGTGAGAGAGATTGTTTGAGGGTTTAGATTGAGTGATTGTAAACCCTAGTTGTATTCTCTCCTCTCTAATAGTAGATCTCCCCCCTCCTTGCCCCGTGGACGTAGGCAGTTTGCCGAACCACGTAAAATTGATTGTTTGAGTTTGTGGCCATTGTAATAGTTTTTAGGATCCCTCGACAGGTCAGTCCTAGAACTGATGAGAGGAAGAGCCGATATCTCACTTGGTTGAGATATCCGCTTCAGATTCTTGTCTCCTTGGTGAGACGAGAATTCTTATTTTGATCTTTCTCTCTTATTGTGCACCAGAAACTCTGCCGAAATTTCCGCTGCGCACAACAAGTGGTATCAGAGCCCAGATTCCAGATCTAGGGTTTGGTTGGAGGAGTAGATCAATTTGGAGGCCCGTTTAGGACTTCGTTGGTGATAAAGGTGGGATCTTTTGGTAAAGACTCTATCTTTCAGTTTTGGATCTATTCTTTGTTCGTTGGTGCGTAAGATGTCGGGGAAAGAAGGTGCTTCGGGAGTCGAGGGTGGTTCTTCTGGCGTGAAGACTATTCAGAGTTTGAATATCCACTCTATGAAGATAGATGTGGAGAAATTTAATGGCACAAACAACTTTGGATTATGGAGATGCGAGGTTTTGGATGCGCTGAACGCGCAGAATTTGGAGGATACATTGGAGTTAGATGGCAAGCCAGATGAGATTGAAGAGAAGGTTTGGAAGAAGATGAATCGAACGGCGTGTGGTGTGATTAGGTCTTGTTTGACTCAAGATCTAAAATATGATGTGATGAATGAGACTTCTGCGAAGAAGATTTGGGAGATTCTCGAAAGCAAGTATTTGACCAAGAGTGTGGAAAATCGCTTGCATTTGAAGAGGAGACTTTATCGTTTCCAGTTGAAGAAGGGAACCTCCATTAGAGATCACATGAACCACTACACAAAGCTTCTTGCGGATTTGGCGAATGTGGATGTCAAGATTGAAGATGAGGACAAGGCGTTGCTGTTGTTGAGTTCCTTGCCCGACGAGGAATATGAGACCTTCGTTCTTACTCTGATTAATGGGAAGGCATCACTTTCGTATAGTGAGGTCACCGCTGCACTTGTGAATTATCAGCTTCGAAAGAAGGATAAGGAGGCTTCGGTTGAGCCGGTAGCGGAGGCGTTGGTCGCAAGAGGGAAGGGTCCAAACCGAAAGAATTGGAAGTCACAGTCTAGAGTAGGAAAAGATCAGTGTGCTTGGTGCAAGGAGACTGGTCATTGGAAGAAAGACTGCCCAAAGCTCGACGAATGGATGAAGAATAAGCAGAAGGGAAAAGGGAAGCAACCATCATCAGAAGCAAACATCGTATCGGATGGTAATAATTCTGACTCTTTTATTTATTCGCTTTCTATTAGTCCTACAGATAGCTATTCGGAGGAATCTGAATGGATGTTGGATAGTGGTGCGACCTATCATGTGTGCCCTAGAAGGGAATGGTTCTCCAGTTTTGAGAAGCTGGTGGATAGTGGTGTGGTGTACATGGCTGATAACCGTGCATGCCAGATCCTTGGGATAGGAAGAATTCGCATAAAGATGTTTGACGGGACTGTTAGAGAGTTAAACGATGTGAGATATGTTCCTTCTTTGAGGAAGAACTTGATCTCGATTGGAGCTTTGGTTGGAGAGGGTCTGAAGGTTCGTGTTGAGGACATGGTTCTCGAGATTGCGAGAGACTCTCGTATTTTGATGAAGGGCGTCAGGAGAAATAACCTGTATTACTTGACTGGAGGTATA